AAAAACTTTTTGATAAATCCGACACAAATTAAAAACTCTTAAGAATAGTTTAGAAAAAACTCTCGCAGCTGGAATTTGTAACACATTTATAAGTTTTTCTGGTTTTATTTATAAAATTTAAACATTTTATATCTTTAATATAAGGAGTTTTTTTTTTTTTTTTTTTTTTTTTTTTTTTTTTTTTTTCATTTTTATGGACAAACATTATTTAAGTGAAATAATTGTTGTACAACAGATGACGCATAAATTTGGTTAAATGGATTTAGTTCTTTTGTTAATTTAAATTTTAATAATTTTCCATTAAATTTCTCTTCTCTCTTTTCGGCCTCTCTTTACAATTCTCATTGGTTTTTATTGTATTCTTTTCATTGTTTTCACTTTTACGCAAAAATAGGTACATGTTGTGAAAAGGAAAGGACGCTGAAGAGTAGCGTCTAAGGGTAAATAGTATTTATTCTTCTCTATATATCTCTMTATATATATATAGTATGTCTCTCTCGCCTTCTCATGCTCTCTCTCTCTTTCTAACTAAATGCCGTGCAACATTGGCAACTAACTTTTCATTTAGCATAGCAGTTTTATCTTTTTTTTTGTTTTTTTATTGGGCTAAATTCGTATGGCAAATACTTTGGTGTTTGTGGGAGTGAGTTGTTGGCTGGGGGCGTGGCTACGCCTACTGCACCCACATGGATGGCGCCCAGAGTGGCTCATTCTCCAGCCTCTGCACGTGTTGGACGAGCTGCTCAAACGCATTCACCAATTCCCCATTCACGATTTCCACATCGAAAAAGTGACCATAGACAAAATCGATGCGTTCCGCCGACTTGATCATATCCTCGAATTCCTCATCTGTAAAGCTGCGCGCGTTGGCCTCATCGAACGTGGACTTGGCCCGCGCCTCCGTACGCGTCGCCTTCAACACACTCAGCTCCGGCGGCTTGATGTGTATGAGAAACGGTTTCAGCTGGGGGGTGCGCAGCGTCTTGATCGCCTGGTAGTGCGGACTCAGCACACACACACAGCCCGCATTCACAATGGACTTGACGCTCTCGGCCGAGGTGCCGTAGAGGTGACCCTTGTACTCGCCGTGCTCCACAAACTTGCCCGCCTCGATGTCAGCCTCCATCTTATCGCGTGCCACGAAAATGTACTCACGTCCAGGCACCTCACCTGGTCGCATGGGTCGCGTGGTATCTGAAACGGGAAATATATATAGGTATATCTGTTATGTATGAACTCCACTGTTAGCTACTCACATGGTACTGGACTGCGGAACTTTTCGGGATCACGCGCTATCAATCTTCTGCGCAGCTCATTGCGTCCCACGCCAGGTGCTCCGATTAGTACAACGGGTCGATAGATGCCTGGACGCGGATACAGCTTGGCCACCTCCTCATAGGTCGCAATCAATTCTCGATCGAAATCGTCGTTCTCTGTTAAATCGTACATTATCTTTTTAGTCTTAGGCTGGCGGCAGGAGGAGCTGCTGCTGCTSGTCTGCAGACGAGGTGAGCCAGGAGGCGTGGTGCAGAGCGAGGCGCATGAACCGGCTGGATGACCAGGTGGATGGCGGATGCAGGGAATCGATGTGGAGCGATGTGAGTGGTGAGTGAGCGTGTGATTAGAATGAAACAAATGAGATACATGCGAGGATTCGATTAGTTAAGGTCTAATTAGATTGGTTAATACAAGTTTAGACGACGAAAGAACTATTAGAGGTATTCCTGAAATTGAAGATCAATCGAGCTTTCTAAATTGAGCGAATTTGCTTTCTGGTTAGTCTCTCAGCTTCAAGGAATACCTCTAATTATTAGTTTTTGCATATGACTATGATAAATATTTTTAAAGGTTAAGGCTTAAGAGTGAAAGTAGAGCAGTTCTATGAAAATAGCCTATCTTTTATAGATTTATGAATGAATGGGATTATATATATTCACAATAAATGCATCTGAGTAGCATGGTTAACCATACTTACGCTTCGAGTCCAGGTCATTGGCTTCGCGTTGCGTTCGCTCGTGCAGGATGCGACGCTCCTGCAGAGCACGACTGGGTATGAGGCCGGCGCGTGCCGAGCGCTCGTGATCCTTGCGCGCCTGCCACCAATACGCATCGTCTTGGGCGACAATGTGTAGGACATCGCCACGCTGAAATGCCAGGCCAGCCTCCTTGCAGGGTATATAGGGATCCACGTCCGGGTTGTAATCGAAGTGGGCACGCACACGCACCTTGGACTCGCGCTGAGCACCTTTCGTATCGGCGGGCACCAGCTTAAAGGTAATCGTGCCCTCCGAGTTTTGCTGCAAGTTTCAGATATAGATTAGATACGTTAGCGATTGCTGGAGTAGTCAATAGACTATGTGGTATATATACCAGTATGGTGAGCACATCGCCTGGCGTCTTGCCCTCCACGTTGATGCCGTTGACCTCGATGACCTCGTCGCCCACGTGTATTAGGCCAGATCGATCTGCTGCGCCGCCGTGCATAATTCGAGCTATAATTATTTTGCCCGTCTCCTCATCCGTTTTTATGGTTGCGCCCTAAAAGTAGGCAGTGCCAATTTTATAAACTCTGCTTGAAGACGATGAGTGTGTAGCTGTGTGTATGCGTGTGTGTGTGTGAGTGACGCATGTAATGTGTATGTGTATGTATATGTGTATGTATAGAGCACAATTTTACAGATTTTCTTTACAAGTCCAATATAAAATGGAAAACAAAATTGAAAAATTGTATATAAAGCATAAAATATAAACCAAAAAAAATTAAATCTAAAATATAAATAT